GTCAGTGACGGCTTTTGCTGAAAGAATTAATGCACTTGTGCGCATTTGACTTAGTGAAAAAAGCTGAAAGGGAATTGATAGGATGAATTGTAAGAGTAATACTTATGCTACGAGGGAACACTGGTGAGGGTTTGGAGTGAAATTTGGGTTTTTTTTTGCCGTTACTTGTTGGAGCTACCTTCTTCCGGCAGAAACGTCAGGTTTTTAACATGGTTTTTCATGGCACCAAATTAAGAAGTTGAAGTTGCTTTTACTTACGTGTGGGTCAGTAAAGCATGAGGTTGTTTCAGCGGCTGTTAGAATACCGTAGTATAAGGGGCAGGGCCTGTGCCTCTAGTGAGAGGTTGGGACGAAGCCGGAGCGCAAGAAATATTTGAGACAGAACTAAGCGAAAAGGCTTGATTTGCTCCCATCATTTCAGGTGGAAGATACTGCTTTTGAACTCGGAATATGGCTAGATGTTCCAGGAGAAGTTGGGACGTACGGAGGGCAGTTTTGCGGTTATAGGTTAAGAATGATCGAATTCGTCGCAGAAGCCTTCCTCGAGATATATAAAGGGACAATGTTGTAGTGCATTACATTTTATTTTATGTACGCAAGTTGAAATAGGTGTCGTCTTGGGCGTAACTTTATGCTGTTGTGTACCACGTCAAAGTCGTTGTAAGACTAAGCTCTAGCGCGTGCCAGTTCTTGTTTCCTGAGACTTCCTTGGAAGCAGGTGCTGTAGAGTTAACTCTTAAACGTTTTTTACAGCTGGTTAAGAGGCAGTTCAAGCATTGTCCTGGACTTGTCTTTTTCCGCCAAGAATATGGCATGAGCGATATACGTGGAACTGTGGGTGGCGGGCCGATCTGCAATGACAGATTTGTGCATCAGACTGGGTGGTGCAAGGTACGCGTTGCCCGGTCAATTTGAATATAGTTGTTGCATGTAAGACGTTTTTAAGTCATTTTGCTGTTGTCGGCCCTTCAATCCAGTTTAGTTCCCACTACCCACTACAGCCTTCGCTGCACATCATTCTTTTGTCCAAATTCCTGCCAAAACTTTCGTGAGAATTGCTAATGTAGAGTGAAGAGCGGCAGTATCATTCGGGCATTATTGCTCGTTTTGCAGTACTTCTGCCAGCTTACCCATGGTTCTTTTCTCTCGCAAGTTTGTTCTTTGAGTCAAGCACACTGTTCTGGGAGGGCAGTTGTTCTGCTCTGCAAAGAAATTTTTGATTTGCAACGGTCTTTATTGAAATTCGGTATTTACTTTGTGAATCAAGTGATGGAAGTTAAAATTTTATTTTTACGTGCACAGCAGCTTTCCGAAACTTGCTGTAGCTGGAAGTCGCAATCAGTCTTTTTGCGACTTCCGTACATCTTTTAGCGTGTGCTTGATGTAGTGGCAGAAATTGTAACTTAGAAACTAGAAGTGGTATTTCTTAGATTTCGTATAGTTTATTGGTATAAAATTTGTGCCATACACTTTATTGCGGACAAACGATTTGATGGTTTGAAAAACGGGAGCCACTTTTTCAGTTTTTTCACTCGCTCCTAATGCCATAACTTACTGACGCCATTACTGTAACTCTGCCGTACAATTTCTAACGAGATTATCCGGATTACTGCATCTTAATACAATTTAAACAGATTAGAAGGTTGCCGACGTCAAACCACGCTTAAGTATATCAAACGCTAGGGAAATCTTTTGGCTTCAAATTTCACAACTGGTGGTGTACCATTCCGTAGTGTAACTGCAATTTTCAGCATGAACATTGCAGTCGAAAAAGCGTAACGATTTTCGCTTTTTCGGTGGCATTGTTAAGTCGTGAAGGTGGGTGGCGCAGACTGGGTTATTACGTGTCCCCATTAGGTAGCTGAGAACCGCATACTTTCAGCAGTGCATCAGCACATTTGCTTCTAATATAAGAGGTTGTCACGAATCTGCAGCATCAGCGCTGATGTGCGAGACCGTTCAAAAGAGGGGCGGCGCAAATGCTTGTCTGCAGAGCGTTGAAGGAAAGCGGAGGTATTTTGCAGAGCATGAAACTTCTCGTTTAAATAAATCCTGGAAGAGCTGTTATAAAGACAGAAGATTGAAGAAATTAACGAAATTCATCAAAATTCCGCCAAAGGCCGTAACTATTCTTGTAGTGTTCAGCCCAGTTACCAAAGTATAAGAACAGTGAAATTTTAAAACACTAAATTTCAACCTTCTAAAAAGTGCTGATGCAGTCTGTAAAGTTCAATTCGCCTAATGCATCACTTCATATACTCACTCAGTCCCAACAACTGTGAGCAGTATTCATTCAACACTGTCTAACAAATAGGATTTACCAAAATTCAAAAAAAAAAATTTTGCGTGAGCTAAACAACAATAAATTGTAGAACAGAAGACTAAGTTGTTAGTACTTCAGGCACATCTAGAGGTGACAAACTGTACGTCTGGAGCGGCTAATTTCCATTACGTTGTGGATGCGAATCCCTACATGGTCTGGAACTATCCACAGTAAAAGTCGTCTTTTTGTTACAGATACCCAACCGTTTTTCCTACCATCAGCAAACAGTGTGTTCAAAGCCTCGAATTTCGCACTCACATATCGTAGAAGAGCGCCTGGTTAAGAAAACAAAAAGATGATGAAAGAAGGTTTAAAATGATTAATAACGGAAGAAAAAACTACAGTCGCACTAGTGTTTAGTAATTGCTATAAAAATGGCTCTTCGATGCTATCTATCCACATTTTTGACCTACCAATAGGCACATTGGCAACGGCTATTTGTATACAAGACTGCTCATTGGAACTTATTCGTCGTACCAATCTTTAAGACCTGAAGCGTAATCTAATGCGGCACCTTACACCAAGTCTGTTGGACGAAAGAGAGAAACAAGACTGTGGTGGAGCACTTATAGGCGGGATTCTGCTAGTAATTGGGGGCAGAAAATCTCACAGCTGAGCGATCTGCGACTTCACAAACTTTTTCTGAGAAATCTGCACCATGATTTTTTCTATGTGCAGGAGTACTTTTATGCTTCCCCTACGCGATTAATCACCATTCCCGACCACATATACAACAGATTTGCTGGAAAATGCTACCCGATATTCAAAAAAAGATTAGTACACGAAAGAGTAAACGTACTTTTGTAAGTGGCAGGGGATTTTAAACGCTGTGAAAGACGCCGCTTGAAAACGGTGGTGTTGTTCTAGAGGATGGCTGGACGGATGTTAACCAACTTGAGATTTAAAATCAGCTTTGAAGACTACAGTCGAATTAGTGGCTTAATCAAGTGAAAATTAAACAGAGACGTAAACCTGATGATATGCGAGAGTAAAAGGAAGATAATCTGACGATTGAGAGACGATAAGCAATGACCTGCAGCGGTCCGATCTGGCAATCATAAGGCATTCAAAAATTTGAAATAATTTAGTCCCTATTTTTCAGCTGTGGAGTGATTACTACGAAAGGCAGCTTTATAGCGTTGGGTTGTTGCCAACCTAGGAAGATCGTCGTTTCGTGCACGAGAGTGGCCATAATGCGGCAGTGTTTGGCTGGAACGCTGTAGGTCAGTTTGCAGCCTGCTTTGGTCATAGTGGTCATCTTCTCAGTTGGAGTGTCAGATCATTGTGGTAAGTACTTCTATATATACCTTATGTGTTTTGATATTTTATCAGTTCAGTTTTTTAATAGAAGACAAAACTATTTTACTCTATTCTCGAATTTATATTTTTATAGAGGTGGTTGGAAAAGTTCTAGTTCCAGTAGAAATGGTAAGATAACGATATCTTAATCTCCTTTGCTTCGGTTGCTGGACTTGGGGCTGTGGACTTCCGTGATGGGTTGAAATAGTAAGAAAATTTTTGTATCACTGTTTATAGTGTGCTAGATATAATGTTTAATCTGATTTACTTAAATAGTTACGTTAGCTAAATTAATTCCTGTGTGAATGGAAAATATAGAATTTTATTTACTTTTATGCTCTCCATCTTTATCACTCGGTTTGAAAGACTTGATGGCAAACATATTTTCTTTGACTACTAATGTAGCCTTGGTTCTTTGTCGATAGTAAGTAATTTCCAGAAGCAAAGGAGGAATCTGTGTTCAAAAGTTACTCCATATTTGAGATTTGGAATGAATTAGTAAAACGGAAACATCTTTTAAGTTCTTTGTTTGTTTATGAAAAACGATGCTCTTTTCAACCTTTTAAGTCGTCTACTTGTAACACTGCATAGTTTTCACAGTTAGCGTCTGTCGATGGATTTTGAAATGCCACTTTGAGTTTTTCCCTGTTTTTATCACACATATAAAGGTTTTAGTATGCCAACGGTAAAAAGTGAGTTGGTAGAAATGGCAATAAGAGGTGGTGTCGTTCACAGTCAAGTAATTGAAGATAAGGAAAACGTATCACCCGAGATTTGCCATAGCAGTAAGTTAATTCTCTTCATTCGTTCTCGTTCTGGCAGTGGATCTACATTGATGTTTATTTCTTTATTTGAAGTTTGATGTTTAGATTTTCTTTCTCAAAATTGTGAAGCATTAGCATTCTGTTAGTGTTTCGTTCGTAATATGATCATATGAATTAAAGGTCGAAGAGAAGAATATTTATTTGATCCTGGACTACTTCATGTTGTGGAGGGTAGGACGGGAGTTCCTAAATTGCCTTCTGGTTGCCACGCACGCCCTTTGTCACTAAGAGATATTAATAAGAACTACGTTCGTTTACTGCTGCAAGGAGAAAACTCCTGCCCTGTCAGTGTAGAAAAACTAGTGAAGAAGTGATTTCTTTAACTATTATAAGTTCTTATAAGCTTTAAAAGATACTTAAACTATTTCTTTTTACTGATAACTTGAGTACTCCATATACGTAAACTTTTTGCAGCTTTCATTTGGCTACTTCCACTCAGCCGCTTCCATATTATGTAATTGTGATTGCTGATGAAGGGCAAGTGACTGCTTTATTTGTTTGGTTGTTTTTCTTGCAATTTTTACGCTTAGCTGCTGACTTTTTAAGGAATAGTGTAATTGGCACCGTCACACTCGTCATTGAAATGAAATTTATTCACACTTTGGGGCTTCGTGGTCGTGTCACAGATCTGGTAGTCGACACAAAAAGTCGCGGCTGTGGGGTAGGGACGGCACTTGCAAAGTACGCTCTGGAGTTGGCTCGAGATCTCGGAATTTATAAAGTTTCAATGGCTTGTGTGGATAGTTTGGTTACCTTTGCAGAAGGAAGTGGATTCCCAAAGGATGTGGGGAATAATGTAATGGTACGGTTTTGAACTACTGCGTTAGCTTACAGTGCCAAGTATTTCATTATCAGTTCATTATACGGGGATATTTTCTTCAGGTGTATTCAAGAAAATAATAAAGTGCATGTCATGGACCAGTGAAATTTCTGTGTTATTTCCGAAATCTGTTAAACGTGGTTTTACGTTTTCGCTTTACAACTTTGAGAAATGAATATTTTTGTTTTGAAATTAAACTTTTTTATCTTCTAGAGCCAACAGTTTGAGTTTTATCATGGAGATGAAGAGCCGTCTTGCTACTTTAAGCCTGGAAGTAAGTTCTCACTTTTTATTGGATTTTTACCAGTAGTTTTCACGTGTCCTTTTAGTAGTTTTTACTGAGTCTCAGACTACCCTTTTTTTGTCAAATTCATTTCCATTATGGAGAAATGCGGCGTTTAAGGTCAACTGAGACAGTACAAGGGCGTATTTAGGTACCGAGTTGTTCAGAAATGAGATTTTGCACCAAGAGGATCTCTTGAACCTGGAGGCACCGCCAAACATTTCAATAAGGCCTTTACACGTAGATGATTGGGATAAGGGTTACTTAAGTTTGTTGGGACAGCTTACGGTAGTTGGGAATGTTTCAAAAACAGATTTTGAAGAACGGTGATTTTGAAGTTCTGCTGTTGTTTTTAGATAGTGTCTTTATTTCTGCATTTTCAAATCATTTTCTATTACACGCAAAATTAGAGCCTTTTAGTAGTGCTTCATTTTTGTTTTGAAGTGAAGAAGCCAGTTAGATATTGCCTATACTTTATGTCAAGAAAAAAATATTGCATTTTAGCTTTAACTCCTTGCAACGCTCCTCTTCGGCTGAATATTTTGTGGTTGTTCTTGAGATTCCTTCGTAAGTTCGTTAATTCCTTTATTTCAGATTTGACATTTTAAATTCACTTTTTTTTTCACGAATTAGGAATTGTATTTTTTTTATTGCATATATGGATAAAAGGTGGGGGAGGTAAATTTTTTCACTTTTCTATAGCTAGAAACTTTCAGCACAAAGGAAATCGTAGCCAGCGGAACTTTGTATGTGGACAAACACGGCTGTGAACATTGTGGGCACTTTGAAGATCTAGTAGTTGATGCTGATTTCCGTCGTATGAGGTTGGGGCGCTACCTCTGTTTATATTTTCGTAAAATGGCATATCTACTTGGGCTACATCGAATAGTGTTAGAATGTCGTGATGAATTGCTTGGATGGTATGAGAGTTTTGGATACAAAAGGGCTGCAAACCTCATGACTTATAAATTCGATATGTAATTGCTTCCTCGTAATTTATTTAGACGCTTTACGGAAGTGTCTGTTCCTGTAAATGTTTTTCTTGGTTCTGCAACTGTTGTCGAAATTTATAACTTCAGTGTTTAAAGTTCTTTGTCTTCTGGTTGAGTGCGCATCTCAAATCCTGGTGCCTGCTCTTTGGTCTTTGTGATGGGTCTTGTTTTACGGTTTTGTTCGCAATAAAGTTGAGCTTTTCAATTGGTTTTGTCGAGTGCCTGTCATTATGCGGGGATTTATTCTAATTATTTGTTAGTGGTCATACTATCTTTGGGTTTTACACAGCTGGTATTGGGATGTCGGAAGGTATGGGGCAAATGAATGCTGATGCTGTCTTCAGAGCACCGGCATTTTGACGCTGCACTACAGTGTTTATTTAGATAGAGGCAGTGGATTGGTGGTAATATTTTAGAGCAAACGTTTGGAACTGCGTGGTCCGTTATTACTAATGAAATGTCGCATGTGCCAACTCTTGCAACTCCAGATTATAAGTTGATTGGTGCTGATAGAGATTGGGTTTTACACAAACTGCCATACGTTAGTCACTTTCTTTTTGGCTTTTAAACAGGAGTGTTATTGTTTTTGTGGTGAAAAAAGTTTATTTCATTGATGGAATTGGTGCTGGACTGTCGGGTTTATGAATGTTGTGAAGTAGCTTAATGCCTCAAAAAGCCAATTTTTAGGAGCCAGTGGAAGTTCCACGTGAACACCTTCCAGATCCAGACTCTGAAAACATACCGAGCATTATCATTCAACAAGTAAGGTTTTACGTTTATCACTGTTTTCCCGGATATCAAATAGTGGTTTTTTAAAGGAAGGTTTTCTGTCATCTGCATTAAGTTTGTTTCAGGAAACAGCAGTAGATCTTGAAAGGCGTTGGACAGATACCGGTATCGACAGGGTACTTCTTTCTTGCCCACAGTCTAGGCGTCTATGATTAAGTAGTTTGGAGCTATGGGGAACGAACAGAGTGGAAGTTCTAACAGTGCAATATCAAGCTCTTTATTATTTTTGGGTGGGAGGAAGAATATGACTGCTGTTCGCAAAAAGGCCAATCAAGTAGTTGTTGTGCGATCAGGTTCTGATAGTGCAGCGAATCCAAACGAGGACCCAATATTTAAAAGATTCAAGGTAAAAGTCTTTTAGTTAGTTGCAGGCTGGGTGTAAGCAAACCTTATTTACTTAGGAAATTCCCAAGTTCTATCCTGTACTCAAAGGTGCTTTGCATCAGCCTGGACTTCATGACTCACCTGATATTAAAAAAAAGATGAGCCCGCGGCCAATTTTTCGGTTAGCAACTTGTCTCCAGGATCACTTAACAAGATCTGCCCAACTGGTAGCTAACGAGCAGGATTCCGTCAATGCCGAAATCAAAGATGTTAGTCTTTATTAATGGCAATATAGAGTTTTCGTTAAAACGTGCTGACATTGTTTCTTACTTTCAAATTTTCCTTTGTACAGCTGCTTTTGGGAATGGATTGGAATAAGCATTTTTAGAAAAACTTGCTTATGATTCAGGAGCAGCTCCTGTGATATTGAAAGATATGATTTGTTAGAGGAGTTTGGTGCTGGAGAGCAGATTTTTTGTTTTTAAATTTTTTTGTGAACCTTGCTGCTGCTTTTTTCGCTCTTTTTTAGGAAATACGTTTTCAGGTCGATTATTACGCTGTTACTTTGCTGGACAAGTTCAACGTCTATAAAAAAAGTATGGAGGTCTTAACACTTCAAGTTTCTAAGCTCAGTGATATTACAGCAGAACTGGAGGGTATGAAGGTGCCTCTTTAATTTCTAAT